AGCTTGTGTTGATTGTAGATTAACTGGCATAAGGATTGAATTGTGATATATAGAGAAATTGCAAATAGCAGCTAAGCCTTGGTTAGTCATTTAAAAACCACTCTAAAATCTTCAAGGCATAGTTTCTTACCTATTTATACAACAAATCCAGATTAAGGTAGTTTATAAGAATGAACAGGATTAAAATGGGTGGTTGGTGTCAGGAACTTAATTTTATACGGTTCTACAAATCTACGGGGTTTAGATTTTGTCAGTGTCTCTTTAATAGAAATATGCTATTGTTATAATGGTTGTTATAAGGTCTTCTGCAGAGTCGTTTCCTGGCATACTAATTGCAGGAGACTTGCAAAAAGGTAATGGTTTTATAGTTTTGTATTTAAACAAGGTCAGGCTTCCTCTAACAAGTTTTCATTGCTCAGAAGAGGGTTTATGACTGACCAAGATTTAAATGGGCATTAACAAAGAATTCTTTTACTCTCTCTCAGAATGTGTTTGTAGTCAGAATTATAGTCTTTGTGTTTTGCAAGATCTAAGTCTTCTTACCTGAACACTCTTTTAGTCATACACTGTCGCAGATCACTGCTGCATGAAAGGAAGCTAGTAATTCTCTGTACTGCCTGCTGCATAAGAGAAGAAGTCAGTTGTACCTGCCTTGTTTGCAGAGCCTCGGAAAAGCAAACTTTTGGGGTGTTTTGTGGTGGAGACATATTACTATTGGAGAATATGTAGACAATTCTTGGAATAGTATTTTAAAGATTTCTTTTATTATCTTTTATTCTCTTCTGGGGGGAAGTAAGCAGCTCCTACCTACCTCTAAAGTTCAGTTTCTCTAGCCAAACCACCTGTTCCAGATTAGAATAGCTAGGTGCGAGGATGTAATAGCAGCACTCTATTTTACCAAAGCTTTGTCTACTTGCAACTTGATGAACCAGTGTCCATACCAACTTAATACCACCAACTTCAGGTGGTATTAAGGGCACTCTATGAGAACTACAAAGGCTCTAGAGATAGAATTCAGCTGTAAGAGAGAACTATTTCTGAATGGCCACCTCCATAAATGAGGTAACAGAACCTGCGGGAAATAGCTATGATAACTTTGACTACACTCTGGGTGAAGAAATAACCCCAAGTTGTTGCCTTATAAAGCAAATATGTCTAACTGACAAATAACAGATCTGCCTCAGTAGGCAGAAAGCTACTCAGTTCATCTCCATCTTCTTAGAAGCAATTTGGTGATATCCTTAAGAAGTCATTCCACTAACTATAAAAACATTTCATGTACTAGTACTGACTGCAGAAGACGGTCATAAGCATTCTGACTTTTTAGTATAGTGAGAGCCCATAGTTTTCAACTTTTCAGAGCTGTCAGCCCCAAGGGAACTCTGAATAGTTGCAGCTATCCTTTCTTAGGTAGTCTTACGGGAATACAAGAAAGACAAGGTTATGTGCATGGCCCAGAATATCACTGCTTATTTGCACACTGAGAACATATGTGCAATTACAGTAGGATCCATTCCAGTTACCAGAGTCTTCTCACACAACCGTGTTTGGTGTGGATTTTGTAACTATTACTGTGGAGAAGAGTCTTCTACTTGTATCGCTGGAATTACAACCTTTCATGCACAATCGTATGTGTATATCTTTTGTAGTTACTTCAGGTGCAGGGTGAGATTCATCTCACCTAAGTGGTTGGGACTACTTGAAAGTTCTCTGGCAATAAGCAGCATTTTCTAACAAAGTTTACTTTAGGGAGTCTTAAAAAGCAAACAAACAAAGCCAGTCAAGTTAGTCAAATTCCTTTTTTTCCCCTGGCTTCCTAATATTTATGCATCATTCTAATTTTTATATTTATAGATTCTGTCTGTAACTGCTACAGACCATGAGAAATCTGAGCTTTTTTATGACTGTATAATAACTCACTTAAGTCTTTCCTTTATCATCTATTCTGAGGCTAAAATGGGTGCATTTGCAATGATGAAAAGAGATTAAATCCTATTTCTAGAGGACACAAGCTTTAATTATAAATATTGAGTGCTTTTACACTTTCCCCAAAGGTTAGAAATTTAGCTTAAATATGATAGAATATGAATCTTTTTAGGGACAGGTGTGCTGTAAAGATTGGTTAATTTTATTTTATGTACTATCTCTTATCTGAATTTAAAACTCTTCTGAAAGGTACTCTTAGGCTTTTAACCAGATGTCTGTAAAAGAGAGAGTTTAGGTGTTCACAAAAATGCCTGTAGAATTGTTCTATCACTTTTTTATGCAATGACATGCTGTCAGTATATTGCTACTATGCCATTTTCTCATGCAGGTGCCTGTTATTTGTAAATGCGTGAAAGACATGGCAGTAGATACAGCATAAGATTGTAGGTAAAAAAAAACATAGAGGGTAGAACTCTGATTTTGAGGGATTAGCAAAGGCACTGTCAGAACTTCTCATCAAATTTGTTAAGGACATTCTTGGAAACTTTCTTTTACAGCCATCTATTTGATGTGACCAATGGACAGGAGAAAAAAGACCTAATGAACAAAGCTTAATGTTTTGGAATTCCCAGATATTCAAAAGGTTGTTGAGACACAAATGTTAAAAAAGTAGTAACTTCTATTTCTATTTGAAAGACCTCAAAGTATTCCACAAAATAAAATTCCCAAAGTAAATAATATTGTCAAATAAATAATGTGGTGTTCCAGGGCATTCAGTGTTTCACAATAATACAGCACTGCAGACAACTTTGAACATACTTTTCATTGGTTCTGGTTTTAGCTCAAGTTTTAAGCGTTATGAGCAACATTGAGCAGTATTAGAGACTCTTAAGATATCCAAGCCTCTGAAGTGAATCTTCTCTTGAGTTTTCCTTAAAGTAAACACTCCAAATACACAGAAAGGGCTTTGAACCTAGAAAGCAAAGTTTTGCTAGAAAAGAGAATAATTAATTTAAACTCTGAGCATGACAAGAAAAGAAATAAAAGAGAATTGTAACAAATTTCCTTCTGCCAGCTGCATCCTGGAAAGTCAACTTCGGGCTTGAAGATCTCTGAGTTCATCAACCTTTAACTGATGCACTGAAAACGTTAAAAGAAACTCAGCACAATCCCTTTTGGGTCCCTAGGTAATGTTTTTCTTCCTTGCCTTTGAGGCTTAGCTGGGATCTCTCCGTGCTCTTACCAGCAGATTCCCAGTCCCTGTATTTTCTCAGGTTTCCTGCTGTGACTCCCAGTGAGGAAGCTGTGACGCAGGCAGAGGAATATGGACAGTTCCTTTCAGCTGAGCATGCTTATTCGTTATCAAGGGCATGGCAGTTTTTTCTCTTCTTCAGTGCACCTGACCCCATGCACAGCATTAGTTTTATTTGCTGACCAGCCACCACTTTTTTAAAGGAACATAACTTAAATTAATACATCAGTTGGAAGTAAGTAGTCAGACACATTTAATGGAAGGGGACTAAGAAGTCTTATTGCTCCTGAGCCATGAGTTGTGAGTGAGGGGAATACTGTCGTTCTTAACCTTGGTGTACAAGGACCTGTGAGGAGAATCCTAGGTTGAGACTTGCGCTAAATGCGATGCAAGAGTTTCTAGACTTGTAACTTACTCGTCCTTCTAAGCCATGAGGTCACAAGTCTTGTATAATAGTTTTTGTGTATTTTGTTATGTTTATTCCCATTTTTCAAGGTTTTCAGAGAAATAAGTGAATTTAACTTGTTTCCTTGTGTTGTTAGGAGGGGCTTGGGGTTTTTGTTTTTATTACATTCTGAAAATGCAATAGATTACAAAAGGGCTTGAGTTAAGGAAGGCTGGTAAGAATTGTTTGTACAGCGGAGGATGGAATTTCAAGAAATACAGCAATTTTTTAGATATTATCTATCTTGACAAAAGGACACTGGCAAATGAATAAGTAAACAGAATAAACATATTCAGGAGAAATTAGTGAATTACAGAATGTGTAGAATACTGTATCCAGAATTAAGAATTTATTTATGAAAAAGCATTCAGCAGTTCACTGTCAGGCACCAGCATTTTTGCAGACTAACACTGGATATGCCGCCATCTTTCCAGATGCTTATACCACTGTGGAAAAACTGAAGACATGGGCTGTGGGTGTTTAGATAAGCCAAAGTTAGCATTGCTAGTAATGCACACAAGTGGTAGCCACCACTGATATCTGATTTTTAAAACAAATTGTTCCACAGGGAACCAATAGCGACTGGTTTACTATGGATTTGTGTTGTGTTTCTGTATCCTCCCCTGCTGTGAGTTCAACTCTCCTCATGGACTTCCACCTTCTGTAATGCCTCCTGTTTCTCCTTTTTGTCCCCATATCCCTCACTTCTCACCCTTACACTATATAAAAATCATCCCCATGTTCCTGTGACCCAAAACAATCCACTGGTCAAAAGGCAGCAAGTGCTATAACTGGGTCTGAGATAACCAGGCAAGCAGAACAAACAGAACAAAAACTGGAGCTCAGGTTACAGCTTTTTTTTCCTCCTCCAGCGAACACAGCAGTCAGGTCTTTCGCTCTCTTCCCTCCTCTGTCCAGATGCTGATTTTAAAAGAATTTGTGAAAGTGTTGCTTCTTTCAAATTTTTACTGATTTGGAATATGTATTTGAAATTGGCCAGCAGTTCAAAAAGTGAAAAAAGAGAAAATTGGGGTGAGAATGGTGAGGACGGGCAGTTGGGCAGATAATCCAAGTAACTTCGTAAGACATCGTTGGAAACCAGGCTAAAATAGAATAAAGCTAAGCTTAATAAAAACAGGTTTTAACCTCTCTTCAGTTAAACCATTTCTTATGTATAATTACACTATATATGGGCACTGTTGATACACGTAAAGTTTATTCAGTGAGTTTTCCTGTAAAAACTCCAGCTTTTTAAAGTTCCTGTTCCAGTTGTACCAGATGAAGTGAAAGTGTCCTTTTCCAAAGTTCAGTTTACCGTGAGTCTTTGCTTTATTGATTTTTATTCTTTCTTTTTTTTTCCTGTTTATTGCCCCATAGGAGCAGTCTCACAGGTGCTGGACAGCCTGGAAGAAATTCATGCACTTACAGACTGCAGCGAAAAAGACTTAGATTTTCTTCACAGTGTTTTCCAGGATCAGCATCTTCACACGCTACTAGATGTAAGTTTTCTGTGATAAATAATTTGAATGTGTTCCTGTGTCTGTTGTTCATTGGATAATATTTTGTTTTATCCGGAATATATTCTCTTTTTTTGTTTCATACCAAAATGAATTTATTTAGGTGTGGAATGTAACAATCAACTAACTACTTTACACAAAAATACATTTTAAGTCTATACATGCGGAATATTTTACAATATGTAAGTTGTTAATGACTTGGTTTGAATTAATAGCTTTGCTGTAAAATAATTCATCAGAATAGGCTTTTTCCTTTCGATAAGGACTGGATTTTATTTTTTATTTTAAATGTGAATTGTAACTTTGTACAGATTCATTCCTTTTTTATTATTTTTAAGTAATATAATAATCTTAGATGAGTTCTATGGATATTCTTACAAGTAGGACATTTTTTGTGTGAAACACCTAGATATGCTTGTTTCTGTCCTATTCTTGAACACAGTATGTAATAGGGTCAGTCATTTAAATCTGTATTATTCTGTGGTTCATGAGAGCTATTACTCCATAAGACAGCAGTGGGTGTTCCACAAGAAAGTGTGCAAAAATTACAAAGCTGGAAGATACAGGTTAGTGCCTCCTGGTAGGCATAATCAAGATCTGGTTCCTGTTTCTTCACTGTCTATCCTTAAGCACAGTTCACTGTCTGGCTACACGTGCAGATCAACTGTGATATCAGATGGTTCATAGATTTATTTTTTTTTCTTCCAGAAAACTAAAGCGCTCTATTTCGCAAAAATAATTTTGAAAAGCAAGTAGTCTGCTGTTTGAGAGAAAAATGCTTGCACGCTACTTACCTTTCTGTGCCTTGAGGACTTCCTGTTTTCAAAGTTTCTTGTTACCTTGTCACATGCAGAAATCCTGTTTATATTTCCCAATAGTTCTTTAACCAAGAAGGCCTAACAAGCAAATATATTGTACTTTCTCCAAAATCATGTAGATTTGGGAAAACATATGTATAGTTTTGAGGTAGAAGTATTTGCTGAACTTCAACTCTCTGCAAAAACAGGGACCTTCAGCATCACTGCAGGCTTACGCTCCATCCCTCACATGAGTGCCAAGACGCTCAGTGAAGGACAAATTCAAAAGCATATCACACTGTCATTGATTTCTGTGTCTGCACAGCATTGGGGTCTAAAATAAAGGTCAAAAAGAAGCAGAAAAAACTTTCCCTGATTTTTTTCTGGGATATATGGATGCTTCATGTTGAAGACAGAGGACTTGCTTTCAGGCAAGACAAACTTTTTCTAAAGCAATCTACACATTCCACTGAGAAAAAAGTCACGATGGAACCAAATCCACAGAGGTATAGGCTATGTCCACATTAGCAAGTACTACAACATAACAATAGCAGATCTGTAGAGCAAAGCAGTTGACACTGAGGACCCGGTGTTGACAATGCTGTGTATTTTGAGGGTTTTTACTTTATACTAGCTATACTGCAGTCGTATGGACTGAGTAACCACTGGTAGGTGAACAGCATCTTCTATTTTAGTGTCATTTGAGAGTAAATATGCTCTGGTAACACTGTACAATGAAAACCAAAGAATGGTAGGTGGGCATAATCAGAAGATTCATTTCAAAAATGCACTCCTGAATCAAACCAAAATGCTCATGTGACCGTATAGATGATGACCATTTTATTACTATGTCTTAAATTTAACAGCTTGGATACCTCAGTGAATATCACAAATCTAACAAGATGTCTATGCTTTTTAGCCAGTGAAAGACAGGGAGAAATAGGAGTCATTCCAGCTATCTGATCTGCAGGTAGATGATTATGGTTGTAGAAACTTTAAAGAGTTTCTGAAAAATTGTTGAATGCTTTAGTTCCTATATGCAGCTTTGCAGGGGTATGATCTGAATGTAAATGGTGCCATAGTTCCTTTGGTGTCCAAACTGTTTAAAATGTAGTAGATGATTTGTACACTTCTTACAATTTGCTTAGGATTGGTAAATAGTGGGCTACCTGGATTCTGTGCATCCTTCAACTTCAGAGGACTCAAATCCACACATACTTCCTTCCAGAAGAGAACCCAGCTGCAGGGTTCTGAACTGGCCTGTATGGGAACATAAGTCTTCTGGTAAAGCTTCCCCACAACGTAGCTGCCTGTATGACTCAAGAAACCAGACAGAGTTAGCTGTTAAGTGATGAGGGCTTTGCTCTGGCACAAGATTCTACGGTTCTAATCTTTGTTCTTGATAACTGTTTATGCATTTTGCATTAAACGGTCCTTGGATAAAATCGTATGAAGCATGCAGGAAGAAGGGATTAGGAGCTCATGACTTTCCTGAATTGCATCTCCAACAACCTATCTTGCAATTTGTATTAAAATATGAATCTTTTTTTCCCAGTGTAAGTTCATCTGGCTTGTGTTCCAGATGCTTAAATTACTCTGTCTTTTCATATTGCATGCTGCAGTATAGAAAGGTGATCAGATAATATGAATGAGAAATAAAAATCTGGACAAGAGGAGAATAACAGGAGGGTAATAATAAGAACTGCAATACTTGTGTCATTCATGCAGGAAGGTTTTACATATTTATTAACCGCTATTATGTTGTCGTATAACTTTTGGACTTCGGTAAACCAGATGGCCTTAGTTGAAGTATTTTGCGGTATGACAGGTCTACCAGACATTAACTTACACTTCTGCAATACTTTTGCTTTTTTCTGTTCTTTACAGTACCAGTCTGGTTCATAGTACTTCACTAATGATCTAATATTTCTGTAATGGTCTGCTGTAGCCTTTTAAACAAGAAAAAACTGCAATGAATTCATACCATTTTGCCATTCTTTTATTTAAGAGTCATGATCGTTCTCTTAGACAGAAAGGGATACATTTAAATGCACACTATAATATCATGTTTGTGAGAACAAAACGCTATCAAAAAGCATTTTTGTTTTATTATGCTATGTGGAAGGGGGCTGATCAAATCTTCCCAAAGATACTTTGATTAGAATAATACAAAATAAAATTCTAAAAATTGCAATGTTATGAAATACATATTTGAAAGACTGAAGCAAGTTACAGACAGTATTATTTGAAAGGGTAGCTTTTTCATTTCAGTAACTTGAATGTGGGAGAGTGATTTCTGTTTATGCATTGATACTATTACAGTTTCTCTCAGAACTCTGAAAAAATCATCAGTTGTACTTGGATGAAATTCTGTCAGGGAAACTGTTTATTACTCTCAGAGTATTTGGGGTTAATGAGGCCACCAGAACAAGTCACCTGTAAAGCATTATATTCCACTAAGTAGGAATTTTATAATCTCTTCTGAAGTTGTGGCTGTCACTTTGCATTAAAACTACTGTTCCTCTTCCTTGGCCTTTTTCCACAGTTAAATTTGTTCTCATGTTCCTACTCTTTCTCAAGAGTTGTCCTTATTTTTAGATTAGGCACATGATGATAGTTCACTCCTGCTGCTGAAATACCTTCTTTTGCTTCTGAACTAACTCTTTTTCTGAAAGCAAAAAAAAAGAAAGGGCAATCTTTGTGTTAAGAGTGCAAGTTACCCATGTGTTGTTTTTTTCAGGTAATATAGATCGCAAAATAGAAGTCGTCTTTCTCAGTAATTCATTAACTTAGGTGTTATGAGGACAGGCACCTCTGAAAGCCAGAGAAAGCAGGGTTCCTATCATCCCATCGATTGTTTTTAATTTATTCATTTATGTATGTCTGTATAGATAGCTATCTTAAGACACTCTTCTACTTTACTTGGGTGCCAAAGCTGTTCAAAACAAGGGGGAGAAAGGTGCCAACTACTTACAAAGTAATTTATATTTACTCTGGGCCAAATCCTGCAATACACCAGCATACCCTGATGTGGGCTTATTGAATAGTTTCATTGTATGACTTTTTTCATAATTTTACAGAATCCCTCTATTGTGTTGAGTGGTTTTTTTCCTGTGCAAAAGTTACACAATTCATATTTAAAAACTTAATTTTTAAATTAAGATTAATTTAAAGAGAGAGTAAGGAAAGGGGCCTTCTAGAAACAACCATTTAGAAATATTCACTACCTAAAAAAAAAAATTGTGTAATAATTGATCTTTCTCATAAAGTAAAAGAGTAACTTTGGGTTGGACAGATTTTAATTTTTTTCTCGCTTCTGTTAGAAATGTGATGATCAAAATTTTGGGGAATGCTGTAGGACATTCCTGTGTGTGACTTAGAACTGCCTGGGTTTATGTCTATATAAAGCTTTATAGATTGTTTCATTCTGGTATCCAATTTAGATAATAAAGAATGTAATAAAGTTAAGTAAAGGAGGTAAATAACTTTATGGATAAACAGAGCTAAATTTAAGTAGTGAAGTGGCGTTTTATTACCACTGACAGATTTTTAGAAGCCTTAACAAATGCTTTAATTAAGATTTTTTTGTTGACTTTCATGAAGGAGATCCTGGGAGGCATTGCTGTCTTGTGTCAGCAGTACTGATAAAGAAGTTGGAAATAAATGTGAAGGGGTTACTAATTTTGGAGACATTGGCGTTTGGCTATCTTCTGTATCACGACAAAAGATTTTCTTTCAATGATTATTTGTTTTGAAAAGTATACTGGGCTTCAAGGCTGTGCCTAATGGAGAAGATCTTTACTCATTATGTTTCTTCTCTGTCAGTGCATCAAAGGAAGCAAGGTTTGCTAAAAAGTAAAACCAGAAGCTGCTGTTTTATGCAGCTGTCTACATTGAAAGAGAAGAGAGGAATCTTTCTTCTGTGGAGCGAATTAGTTTGGTCACCTCTCCAGGGACGCTTTCTGTGGGTGATTCTGAATGCAGATGTCGTTGAATTTACAAGTGGGACTTTCGCTCAGAAGAACAATATCAGCTTTTGTGTGACTGGGGTCTCTCTGCTACTGGCTTTGCCTGCGTCTGTCTGTCCTGAGTCAGATAGTTCTCTAGGCTGATATCTTTTGGCTGTTAATTTAAGAAGTTTGTTATTTCTGCAAGTATATCTGCAATAGAAGAGTTACGAGCTTT